ACAGAGGACCTGGTTTCGATTCCCGGGTAAGGTAAAACCGTAGGCAGGTTTTCTTACTCTGCACATCTATGCTTACACAGGAGTAAATAAGACCCCAGTTGTTAGTCGATTGCTTTTTCTGCAGTAATAATTCCCTAAACAAAAGTGATTACTCAATCAACGACTGTTTGTGGGACGCTGCTGTGCACAATTGGCTGCCGCATTTCACCCAGAAAATATGCAGTCAATTCACTTTTCAGTATATTCTGTGAAGTGCTTTGAGACGTCTCGAAGACTTGATGAGGCGATATAGCTCCTAATCACGTCGTTGAGACGTCTCAAAGCATTTCACGGGATTTTACTGTGGAATGTAACGCTTGTTATTTGTTAGGCAAACACGGCAGTCCATTTGCATACCGCAACGCAACGTCCCACAAAAAACCATGAGGTGAATGACCAATTTTATTTCTCTTTTTATACAGTGCCGGGGGATCTTTTGACCTAATAATAATCATTGCATTTGATATAGCGCTTTATCAAGTCATTGAGACATCTCAAAGCGCCTCACAAATATACTGTGAAGCGAATTGACTCAGCGCGCAAAATAGCTGATGCGATTTGCTGTTGTCACCACAAGTGCTCGTAATTATCACGAAGCACTTTACAACATTATGTGCGCTACAAAATTAAAGATCTTTCTTCTTTAGCCGCTAGGCCATAAAGGGAGCCAATTTAACAAAATCAGAGCGTTTCAGCACCTCAGACCTGGCACCAGGTCAATGGGCCAAAACTCTGTGCCAGCTATCTGTTTAGTCCCATTTCCCTGCCCTTTTTATAATAATAATCCTTGCATCTGATTTTGTGCCTTATCACATCGTTGAGACATCTCAAAGCGCTTTTGAGGTAAACAGAGACGTGTGCAGTAAAGAAACTTTCACCCTGGCTGGGAATCAAACTCGGGTCTTCTCACTTGCAAGGTAAGCGCACTGACCACTACGTTACAGGACTCTAATTCTTACACTTAATTGTCACATTCTTACCACAAGCTACACTTACCACAGCCAAAGTTTCTGAACGTACTCATAGCTTCACTTGGGTTGAAAGCTGCAGTGAGTGCGAAACCTGACCCCATTACTCAGACACTGCTTGGCTGACTCAATACGTTCAGCGCATCCAAATAACAAGGAACAAGTCATCACTAATTTCCTTTATGAAATTTGACCTCATCCTTCCAGAATACCTACCCTACTATAGATAAGAATTGGGGGAGGACAAGTTTGCAGGGCTATGGGGAGATAGTGGGGGGGTGGGACGGATTTGGATAGCTCTTTTAAAAGAGCCGGCACAGACACAATTGGCCGAATGGCCTCCTTCTGTGCTGTATAATTCTTTGATTCTATAATACTACGTTCCCATTACAGCCCTACAGATTAATTGGTCACGCATTCCATGGCTATTTGTGAGATCGTATGTCAAATCGGCCGCCATGTTTCTAACAAAAAAATCATTGCACTTCACAATCATTTGTGAAGTGCTTTCAGCCGCTAGGCATTATATCAAGCGTTTTAATTTTACATTGTTAAGCAGTTTCATAAATGGAGTTCCAGTGTCTTAGTTTCAACCATGCTTCCTGGATCCTTTCCCTGTTTGACAAGAGAAGGGAGTTTCACCCCGTGTCCTGGCCAACAATTCCAGATAATTTGGTCAATTACTTCAAGGGTATTTATGTTTCCTCTCCTTTTTGTGCGCAAAATAGTTGCAACGTTTTTCTACAAGTAACTTTGCCACAATTTTATATTTATATAGCACCTTTCATCTCAGCAGGACATCACAAAGTGCTTCACCGGTCCAGCTAGGGGTGGAGAAAGCCAAGGAATGGGGGGGAAAGAGAGAGAGAGAGGGAGATGACCAAAAGCACAGTCAAAAAGGTTTCAAGACAGGCTTTATAGGTGGTTGGTCACCACACTTCACAACACGTTTATAGTAATAAATGTGAGGGCTATCATAATAATGCTTGTACTAATCCTTATCATGTCGTTGAGTCGTCTCAAAGCTCTTCACAGTATAAATTAGAAAGTCATAGCTCAACTGCAGCTGCTAACTCTCCCTCTGTGCACAGAAATACTTTTCGTACCCATCCTACTCACCCTTCACCTCCACACATTTGTGGAGGAGCGAGCACCAGCAGAGACATGAGAGGCGAATGGCTTTCTTTTGCGCTGTAAACTTTCTAGGATTATATGAGCATGCTACCTTATTTTCTCTCTCATTTGTTGAATGACGTGAATTGCCAGCATTTCGCCCACAAATATATAGTCATTCACTTTACAGTATATTCTGTGAAGCGCTTTGAGATGTCTAGAAGACATGAAAAGCGCTATATTAAAATGCAAGAATTATTATTATTTTCTGTCCTCTCAATTTTACTTATTCCATGAAGGCCTACAAATATAATACTTGCATTTGATATACTACCATGTCATTCAGACGTCTCAAAGCGCTTCATAGAATATACTGTAAAGTGATAGACTGTATTTTGTAGATGAAATACGGCAACCGATTGTGCACAGCAGTGTCCCACAAACAGTCATAGATACAGTCATTTGTATACTGCATACAAATATACAGTCAGTTCATTCATAGTAAATTCTGTGAAGAGCTTCCAAGAGTTTTAAGGTGCTCTATCAAATGCAAGACTATTTATAAGGCCAGGAACACATTACTTTGGACTAAAACCTTGTAAAGCTACGTATCTACTGTGGGGCTGGGGAGAGAAATGCAGCCTGCAAACAGCAACACACAATTGATGTTGCTATTAAATATAAAACATGGACAGGTCACGACAACCCTGAGCTCCACTAAAACCAAGAGATTCACCCTGTGAAGCAAAGCTTTTATTTAAACTCGCCCAGAATTATGTAGAATCCTTTTATTGTGTTGGATAAATAACGTGGCTCAGTTGGCAGTCATCTTGACTCTTGGGTCAGCAGGTTGTGGGTTCAATTGGGGTCCATAACGAGACTTAAATACATGGGCTAGCTGACTTAATAAGCTTCAGTGCAGTGATGGGGATAATGCTGCATTGTTGGATGGCATCTTAACCCAAGGACCTTCCTGTCTGTGCAGGTGGGAATTAAAGATCCCATGCCACTATTTGGTATGGCATCTTGAATATCAGAAGTATGTTCCGAAGCTCTTCACAGGATTTTACTGTGAATTGGAGTGACTGCGTATGTGAGAGAACACAGCAGCCAATATATGCGCAGCAATGTCCCACAAACAGCTGTGAAACAAATGACCAATTTTGATTTGAGAGATTGTTGACCAGGACATTGGGAGAGAGAAACTTATTTCTCTTTGAATAGCGCTGCAGGGTCTTTAACATCCACCTGAACAGGCACAGACAGGACCTTGGTTTAACATCTCATTCGAAGGACGGCACCTCCGACAATGCAACACTCCCCCAGCGCCGCAATCCACTGGAGTGACAGCTTAAACTATGTGATTTCAAGTCCTGACACAGGGGCTTGAACCCAAAAACTTGTGACTCAGAGGCGAGTGTGCTATTGACTGAGCCAGGCTGACACACATACATATACACACATCTCTCTCTTTAAAGCACAAATAAACAAGTTGTTGCTGTAATTTTTCTAGCAGTAAGTAAGAATCCAGTTGTTAGTCGATTGGCGGATCGCTTTTCCGGGGGTAATAATTCCTTCAAAAAAAATTGGTCTCTCAATCCATAACTGTTTGTGGGACACTGCTGTGCGCAAGTGGCTGTCATGTTCTGCCCACAAAATATGCAGTCACGACACTTTGCAGTAGATCCTGTGAAGCGCTTTGAGACATCTGGTAGATGTGATAAGGCGCGATATCAAATGCAAGGATTGTTATTCTCTCCATATACACACACACATATATATATATAAACGTGTTGTTGCTGCATTGTCTCTCTATACACACATGTATTTATATAGCACCCCTCACACAGGGTAGCATCCCACAGCACTTGAAACACACACATATATGAATACAAGTTGTTGTATTTTCTCTCTCCATATACACATATAAACATTGCTGTGTGGTCTCACTAAATATATATTTACACAAGTTGCTATATTGTCTCGATATATACACATAATAAACATATACTGTGTATACACATACGTAAACACCACAACAACAAAATGACATTTGTACAGCGCCTTTCACACACAAGTTGTTTAAATGGGGTGACCACACGTCCCCTATTTCTGGGGACAGTCCACAGATGAGGTACTGGAGCCAAACTGCCTTGTGTTGAGCTCAACAACAAACTGAGAGCGAAAGTAATAAAATTCTAAAGCAGATACATCGGAGAAACACAGCCATTAATCCCCCAACAAGCTTTTCCGGCAACAGCAACGCGGTCACTCAATCCGCGACCGTTTGTGGGACGCCGCTGCGCGCAATGGGCTGCCGCGTCTCGCTCACAAGCCACGCAGCCACTGCACTTCACAGTATAATCCCGTGAAGCGCTTCGGGACGTCTCGAAGACACGATAAGGCGCCGCATCAAGTGCGAGGACTATTATTATTATTATTGTGGTTAGATAGCACTCAGGAGTCATACGCTTCTCCAGTAACCATCAGGAATTGTGTTCAGCTCAATTTTTTTAAAAAAAAGTGTTGACAAAATAGGGTCACCCTATAAAAATGTATGACCTCCTTATCTATATGTGACTGACACCCCCACCCCCACAGCCACTTGGTGTGATGGCCATGTCGAGGCTGGGGGGGGGGGGGGGGAAGCGGCGGCGCGGTGCGTGCTGGGAGTTGTAGTTCCTTCCCCCCCCCGCGTCTCCCCGGCACCGCCGCCATCTTGGCCGCTTCCAACCGCCGACAACAAAAACCCCCACACACACCAAACAAACGGCCCCGCGCCCAGGAACCTCTCCACCTCCCCCGTCGGCGTGACTACCGCTCTCGGCTCCAATGGAGGAGCTCTCCTCGCTCCCGCCCCCCCCTCGCCGAGCGCTTTACCTTTGTATTCGCTTGTGTTTTGAATAGGAGCGGGGGAAACGCTTCCAGGGCAATGGCGGCGCTGGTGGCCGCCGCCGTGTGAGCGGAGGGGGTTGAGATATCGCGAGAGCATCCCCCGCGCGGCGGGGGGCGGGGCGGGGAGAGCGGGATTTGACCTGATCTCGTCGCTGTTGCTCTCGCGAGATGTGAGGGAAGTGAGGCTCAACTCTCGTCCTCCTCCCGTGTCATCTCGCGAGACCAGCAACTCAGCCCCGCCCCCTCAGTCCCCGCCCCTCCCCTTGTCTCCGCCCCGCCCCCTCAGTCCCCGCCCCTCCCCCTGTCCTCGCCCCTCCCTCTGTCCCCGATATGAAGAGGGGGAGGGGAGGAGAGGAGGAGGAGGGGGAGGTGATGGAGGAGAGGGGGAGGAGGAGGGGGAGGGGATGGAGGAGAGGGGGAGGAGGAGGGGGAGGGATGGAGGAGAGGGGGAGGAGGAGGGGGGAGGGGATGGAGGAGAGGGGAGGAGAGGGGGAGGTGATGGAGGAGAGGGGGGAGGAGAAGGGGGGAGGGGATGGAGGAGAGGGGAGGGGATGGAGGAGAGGGGGAGGAGGAGGGGGAGGTGATGGAGGAGAGGGGGAGGAGGGGGAGGTGATGGAGGAGAGGGGGAGGAGGAGGGGGAGGTGATGGAGGAGAGGGGGGAGGAGAGGAGAGGGGGGAGGGGATGGAGGGGAGGAGAAGGGGAGGAGAGCGGAGAGGGGAAGGTGGCCGTAAACACAGTCAAAGAGGAAGGTTTTCAGGCGGAACTCGAAAGAGGGGAGAGGGGGAGCGAGGCGGGGGGATTGAGGGAGAGTGTTACAGAGTTTCGGAGAGTAGTGTCTGAAAGCGCGACCTCCGATGGTGGGGCGGAGGGTGTGAGGGACGAGCAGGAGCCGGGGCCGGGGCCGGTCGAGCGGAGGCGCCGGGTGGTGGACTGGGCAGTGAGGAGGTTGGAGAGGAGCCAGAGAGCGAAGGGATACACGCGTGTATATACATTGTACCTATTGGTTATACACGTGTGTATCTGGATTTGGACACAACAGCTACTTGCCTTTACGCGAGCGGAGCCAGAATCCGAGCCGAGGAGAGCGGGGAGGTGACCAGGCACGGTCGAAGAGGAAAGTCTTCGGGTGCATTTGGTATTACCTCTTTCCAATGTACACCCTACACGAACGGTTGCGTAAACTTGGTCTGTCTTCAGAGAAGCTACAGAGAAATTATTTCCTCTGGTGGGGAATCCAGAAAAAGGGGCATCATCTCAACATTAGAGCCATTTAGGAGTGAAATCAGGAAACAGTTGGGTAGAGAAAATCTGGAACTCTCTCCCCCAACAGGATCTGAGATGCCGGATCCATTCACATTGATAAGACTGAGGTGGATAGATATTTATTAGGTCAGGGTATCAAGAGATACGGGGCAAAGGCGGGTTATTGGAGTTGAAGTTATATAATAATAATAATCCTTGCATTTGATATAGCGCTTTTCACGTCGGGAGGACGTCCCAAAGCGCTTCACAGAACACACTGTAAAGTGAATTGACTGTATATTTGTGGGCGAACGCGGCAGCCAATTGCGCACAGCAATGTCCCACAGACAGTCGTAGATTGAAAATGACCAATTTATTATTGTTTTTGGTTTTGGAGGGATTATTATTAGGCTCTGTGTGGAGTAAGGAAACTTGCCCGAGGTTTCGCTCTCTGCCTGGAATTGAACTCAGGTCTCTCACTTGCAAAGCGAGTGCTCTAACCACTGAGCTACAGGACTCCACGTTATAGAATGGCAGAACAGGCTTCAGGGACTGAATGGCCTACTCCTGTGTTTATATTTCTATGATATTCTGTGAAGTTCTTTGAGACATCTGGAGGACGTGATAAGGCACTATATGAAATGCACAGTTTATTATATTAGCAGCAAACTCCTCTGTGTAACCACACTGTGTAAAGACGCTGTGTAAAGGATGGGCTATTCTGGAATAATGAGACCAAATAGGTTTCTTCATCCAAACATCTCTGGTAGTCTTCTCAAGGAATGAGTGTTGATGCAATTTTACAGAAGAAATGCACTGAAATCCAGGCTCATTGACTTTATTGCCGCATTTCCGGTTCAAGTACAGCAGTTGGTGTGTGGTCAAAAAATGTAAAACTTGTAACTCGTCACGTAAACTTGTTGCAAATTAGGACGAACACTTTCAGAAACGCTCCCCTTCCTCCATCAAAGGCTCAAAGCTGCAGTGTGGAAATTTGTGCTCGATGCCAGGAAAGTCCAACCTTTTGGCTGTTGAGGGTTTTGAGTAACATCCGTGGGCCACATAAGCAAAAATTTTGTGTTTGCCTTCCAGAAACATAACGTAACATTTACGGGTCATGGAGGGAGTGGGTGGGAGACGAAATGAAGGGTGCGGGTTAAATGAAATCAGCCGGTGGGCCAGATGTGGCCCGCGGGCCGCCAGTTAGACCACCCTGCTCTACACGGTCCTTAACGAGTCTCTTAGACGTTGGGGTTGCAACACGGCATTTTCAACCTGTAATTTGCTGCGTTAATTCCCATTTCTGGTTTGTGACTCAAATCCCGTGACCCTATTCATTAAAAATACTGTGAGCTCAGAGCTTAGCAAAGCAGCCAGTGTTTCTTGTTCTCTCTCCTCTTTGGAGTATTTTTCTCAACCGCAAAACTTCCCGAAAGCTAATCGCCATCCATGATCCTGACTCATGGTTTAACGAACGAACAGTGCTCTCTGGACATGGTGGTGGAGTGGAGGTGGGGTGGGGGGAAGGGGAGGGAGGAAGAAAGAGTGGATCCTAATTTGCAGTATTTCTTAACAGATATCTTAATAGGAAATGTGCAACAATACAATTTGCAATCGCGGAATGCACTCCTCAGCAATCTACAGGTGTCCGCAAAGTCCTGTTACCCCCAATGTTTTATTCTTGCAATGAATGTTTATTTGCTGTTACAGATGAGGGGAGCGTAACGATGTCTGACATCAGTAACTCCTTCCTCACTGACTCCATCCATGTTTTACAGGATGTTGGCTCGAAAATGGCGACGTGCTATTATCTGCCATGAAAATGATGGCGCTCACACGCAGCCATTTTCTGGACATCTAAACATAGTTAAACACTTCTACTGAATACTTTTAAGTACTTCTAAATACAATTATCACCATTCTTCCTCGCATTTCAGTTATAGGGGAAAAAACAAGGGGGTGGGAGTTAACAGGACTTTGTGAACACATTCAGTGGTTTAGGAATTGAAATGAGCCATTTCTTGTTAAGAAACAGGTTAAGAAATAGTGCAAGTTAGACCCCATTGTCGAGGTTCAATCCTGCAGTAAAACGATGTCCACGTTGTCGTGAGATCCTTGGAGCAGCATCTCTCCCTCGTACATGATGATCTTCTTGCGTTTAGCAGCTCTCAGTGTCCCCACCAGGGCCTCAAACAAGTTTGCACATTTGTCGTCAGCAAACAGCACTCCAAACTTCACAGTGATTTTACCATCGACGCCTGGAGAAACACAAGGTAAGACATCAGTGACCACAGCTAAATTGCGTGTGTATACACAGGGGAGTTATCACTGGTACACTGTGTGTGTGCATAATAATAATAATCCTTACATCTGATATAGCGCCTTATCACGTCATTGAGACGTCTCAAAGCGCTTCACAGAACATACTGTAAAGTGGATTGACTGTGTACTTTGTGGGCAAAACACGGCAGCCCATTCCATAAAGCAGTCGTGGAGTAAGTGACCAATTTTATTTGGGGGATTGTTGGCTAGGACACCGGGAAAGAGAAACTCTCTTCTCTCTTCGAACAGCGTCACAGGATCTTTCACACCCACCTGAACAGGCAGATGGGACCTCGGTTCAGTGAGTCACTCGAAGGACGGCACCTCTGACAATGCAGCTCTCCCCGAGCACTGCCCTGGAGGTCAGCTTAGTCTACGCGCTCAAAGTTCCGACACAATATACACACACCCCACTCAACACACACTCAACATACACACATCCCTTCCCCTTACCCTCACACATGCCGATCCCTTTCATATTTTTCCTTTCCAAGAACCAAGCACTTTGTCCAATTCCCTTACAGAAGACTAAAGATTCTGCTTCAACCAGTGATTCTGAATTAAATGATCTGCCTTTGAACCCAATTTTAGTGCAAGTCCATCGTGGTTTTTGCCGTGCTTTTTATAGTGCCCCGTCACCTGGGAGACACTGCTTCAGGTTCCTCTCTTCATGTCCTGTGGTTATTGCTGCTCTATTCTGTCAGGTTAATACAGAATCTCATCTTACACTCCATACAGCGGGGTTCTTAATGATGAAAATAATTCTCGCTTTGGATACAGTGCCTGTAATGCTGAAATATTCTAAAGTGCTTCACTGCCGTCAAGTGTAGTGACTGTGTGTTTGTAATAGTAATCCTTACAGTTGATATAATGCTTTATCATGTTGTCGAGACGACTCAAAGGGCTTCAGAATATACTGTAAAGGGATATAGCGCCTTATCACATCATTGAGACATCTCAAAGCGCCTCTCGCAATATACTGTAAAGTGAATTGACTATATTTTTGGGGGAATTGTAGGCAAATATTGGCAGCTAATTTGGGCTCAGCAATGTCCCATAAATAGCCACAAAGTGATTGAGTAGACCAGGACACTGGGAGAAACAAACTCCCTTCTCTTTTCCAATAGCATCATGAGCTTCTTAACATTCACCTGAATGTGAAAAGCGCTATATCAAATGCAAGGATTATTATTATTATTATTATTATTATTCACCTGAACTACATTCAACAGAGTGGGGAGTCTTTAGTTTAACATTTTCTAAACAACAAAACTTGCATTTATATATGGAGTCCTGCGGTATAGTGGTTAGAGCACTCGCCTCGCAAGCGAGGATCTGGGTTCAATACCCGGTTGGGGCAAAACCTTAGGCAAGTTTCCTTACACCACACGCCTCTGTTTACTTAGCAGTATGTAGGAACCCGGTTGTTAGTCGATTGGTGAATTGCTTTCAGGGGGTAATAATCCCTTCAAAAAAAAGTAATAATTTGGTCACTCAATCCACGACGGTTTGTGGGACACTGCCGTGTGCAATTGGCTGTTGCACTTTGCCACAATATACAGTCAATTCACTTTACAGTATATCCTGTGAAGAGCCTTGAGATGCGACGTGATAAGGCGCTATGTCAAATGCAAGGATTATTAAGATTATGGTAAGAGAGGCAGAGGTTCTGTGACTGAAATTTGACTGACCTGGAGCTCCGAGACGCCGGATCTCCTCAACGAGAAGATTGACCTCATTTTCAACATTCATCCTCACCTAAAAGCAAAGAGTTTTCAGTGAAATCAAACTGGGAAATGTATCAAGCTAACAACAGGCGGCAGGCACTCTGTGTCACAACAACCACAAATTACATTTGTACAGCGCTTTTCACATCAGGAGGATGGCCAAAGGCCCTGGACAATCAGGGATCCACATCCGAGCTGGTGGTTGGGATCAGGAGAAATGGAGGGCAGGGAGGGTATGGCAGGAGGGTGACCGAAGGCAGGGTTGAAGAGGAGTCTTGAGATGGGTCTTTGAAGGAGGCAAGGAAGGGGGCGAGGCGAAGGGATGCAGTTCCAGAGGGTGGAGGCAGAGAGGCTGAAGGTCCACCCTCCAATAGTGGGGCAGGCAAGGCGGGGGACGTGAAGCAGGCTGGAGCCCGCTGATCCAGTGCCTTAAGACGTCTTCCCGATGCGGAATGTAATTTGTTGTTGTTGTGGGTGACTGTTGGGTGGTCACAAACTTGTCCGCTCCCAGTCAGGGCAGGTGCCTGGAGAGAACCACAGAGCCAATACAACACAATATATATTTATATACACAGTGGCTTTCACATTGGGAGATGTCCCAAGGTGCTGGATGAAAACAATGGAAAAGTTTGAGGATTAAAAAGCAGTGGACTGCAACTAATAGAATAATCCTTGCATTTGATATAGCGCCTTATCAAGTCATTGAGACGTTTCAAACACTTCACGGGATACACTATAAAACGAATTGACTATTTTTTGTGGGTGAAACACTGCAGCCAATTGCACACATCCATAAACAGTCGTGGATTGAGTGAGCAAATTATTTATTGAATTTGAAGGGATATTTACCCCCGGAAAGCCATCTGCCAATCGACTAACAATCCGGTTCCTACTTATTGCTGGGTAATCAAACAGAGACATGTGGAGTAAGGAAACTTGTCCAACCATTTCACCCTCCCCAGGAATCAAACCCAGGTTCTCTCATTTGTGTGATGAACACACTAACAACAACAACATGGATTTATATAGCGCCCTCCACGCCGGACGGCATCTCAGAGCTTCACAGTAACGGATGCCGGTGCCGAACCGGGGGAGGGGGGGGGGAAGGTGACCCAAGGCGCGGTCGAAAAGAAAGGTCTTCAGCTGAGACCTGAAAATAGAAGAGGGAGCGAGACAAAGGGAGTGAGGAAGGGAATTCCAGAGCCTCGGGGCATAGTGGCTGAAGGCACGGTCGCCGAGGTTGGAGTGGAGGACGGGGGACAAGGAGGAGGCCAGACCCGGAGGAACGAAGGCAATGGGCACTGTTGTGAGGAGAGAGGTCAGAGAGGTTGGGGGGTTGCAGAGGAGTGGAGGGATTTGAACCACTACGTTACAGGAATCCACTGAAAGGTGCCCACACCTCGCTAACTCAGCACATTGGCAAATTCATAGGGAGCGAATTGGAAGCTAATGCTCCCCCTACAAGAAGTCTATGGGGTGTTGGCATGTGCCAACTCCTCTAGGCATCTACAGCCACTCTCCTCATTAGGAGGGGCATCAGAGGTGAATGGGCAGTGTGCCAACTCACTCCACCCACACTTCCTCAAACAAAAGGAAAGGTCATTTAAAATCAGATTTCACCCCCTCCCCCCTCTATGGCTCATTAGATTCTTTCCTTCATTTATAAACAAAGCATTCATTCACAACTTGGTCTGAAACAAAAGTCTGTACGTAACTAAGTATTTGCCCGTCAGACCATTTCATGTTAGAAGTTAAAATGGTGCAGAATTGTGGATAGTTCTTAAAATTCAACAAGTTGCATTTCTTCAGTGCCCTCAGCATCTCAGAGTGCTTCAGATTCACCTTAATTTGGAAGCCATTCCTTTTTGATCTCCTCTTTGACCGTGTTTTCGGCCACGTTTCCACCATCCTCCACCCCTTGATTCCAACCCCCAGCTTGGGCGCTAACCCGTAACTGTACCGCGCCTTGGGCTGTCCTCCCAACGTGAAAGGCGCTAGACACATGTAATTTAGTTGATGTTATTTTAAAAACTGCAGAATACCCGAGACTCAATTTGATAATTTTTCACAATTATGAGTGATCTAAATAATAATAATAATAATCCTTGCATTTGATATAGCATTTTTCACGTCTTCAAGACGTGTCAAAGCGCTTCACAGAATACACTGTGAAGTGAACTGACTGGCTATTTTGTGGATTGAGTGGCCAAACTATTATTTTTTTGAGGAATTATTATCAGGCGTGTGGAGTAAGGAAACTTGCCCAAGGCCTCGCCCTGTCGGGAATCAAACCCAGGTCTCTCACTTGCGATGCAAGTGCTCTAACCAATATGCTAAGGGACTCTACATTTAAAGGTGAGAACAAGGATCTTAAACTCGACCCGCGGGGGGATGGGGAGCCAGCGGAGCCGAGGGAAGATGAGGCTGATAGGATCGCGGAGCCTGGTGAGGGGAGGACCTGGGCCGCAGCAACCTATTTTAAGGTGAAATGGGCTAAAAGGCTGAGATCAGATGAAATTTCGTGGCCAAATCTGAATCACACCGTTCAAACAAAGTGGGTCACAGTCCCGCAGACGATAAGCTGTAGCAGAACTAGGACATTTAGACTCTGAAATGAGGTTCAATGCAGAATAATTAATTGGGAGGTTACAAAACACGAGAGCCACTCGAACAGGAAATAAAGGTGCGTCACTTATCACAAGGCAACGTCTATAAATGGCTTTTCTGCTGGTCAGCTGGTTTTATAATATATATATTGTATATAAACAATATGATAATAATCGTTGCATTTGATATAGCACCTTATCACATCTGTGAGACGACTCAAAGCGCTTCACAGAATAAACTGCAGAGTGGATTGAGTGACCACATTTTTTTTTGGGTGGTGGGGGGGACAGGGGCGGTCGATTATTACCCCCGAAAAGTGATCTGCCCTGGGTTCCTACTTACTGCTATAGGCATGTGGAGTAAGGAAACTTGCCTAAGGTTTCACCCTGACTGGGAATCGAACTCAGGTCTTCTCACTTGCGAGGAAGTGCTCTAACCACTACACTACAAGACTCCACTGAGTCTAAAAGATTATCCTTTGCGTGCGTCGAAGGTCGAATGAAGGAGAAGCTTTGTGTGTGTGTGTGTGTGTGTTTGTAGAAATGCAAATTATTGTTGTATTGCACGAGTTCTATATTTATCCAGTTCTTTTTTCGAATGATAACGTGATCAATACGGCCTCAATACAGTATTGAATCACAAACGAGATCCAAATCCTAACAACCCTCAAACTATTGAACTATTGAAACATTTTTCTACCCTCTCCCCTCCTCCCGTTCTTCAGCTAACAATCCCGAGACTGTCTCTCTCCCCCCGTCATCATCACCCATTTCCTATCGAAAGGAACAGTATTCAACTTGTGATGGCCTTTTACAATAATAATCAGTAACAATCCTTGTATTTAATATCACGTCATTGAGACGTCTCAAAGCGCTTCACAGGATACACTGCAAAATGTAGTGACTGTGTATTTTGTAGGTGGAACATGGCAGCCAGTTTGCACACAGCAATGTCCCACAAAAAGCCATGGAGCAAGTGACCAATTTTATTCGGGGGAGTGTTGGCCAGGACACCGGGAGAGAGAGACTCTCTTCTCTTTCTCGAACAGCGCCGCGGGATCTTTAACATCCGGACCTCGGTTTAACATCACATTTGAAGGATGGCATCTTTACAATACAACCACCGCCCGCTCCACCCCAGCCCTGCACTGGAGCATCAGCTTAGACTGTGTGTAATTCTAAGTCCTGCCATGGGGGCTGAGTCACCCACAACCTCTGACACAGAGGCGAGACCGATACCTCTGAGCCAGGCCGACAGCTCGCTCAATCTCACCATTTCTAGTGGGAAAAAGCCCAATTTATCAAATACTCTCTTCATTGCTCTGAAGGTGTGTGACAAGTCCCAGAACAGAGAGCAGTGCAAACTAGTTTCTACGCCCACCCCATATGAAAGAAAAACAACCGAGCACCTGTACTGAGTAACCCTTTGTCCCCTCTACCATCAGCAGCTGTGTTTTCAGCCACTACTGCCTCAAATTATGGACCTTTCTCCCTCAGTCCTACCCCCCCTCAGATCACGCCTGAAGACCTTCCATTTTGACTGTGCCTACGCTCACCTCCCCCTCCCCCCGGCTTGGCATCGGGCTCCCTCACTGTTAAGCGCTCTGAGACGCAACCCAACATGTGCAGGACGCTATATAAATGCAAGTTTACATAGCGAAGTATTGGTGCGCTCGTCTCGCAAGCGACAGGACCCGGGTTTGATTCCTGGGCGCGGGGGGGGGGGGGGGAACCTTAGGCAAGTTCCTTTACTCCACACTCCTCTGTTTACCTAACAGGAACCCATTTTTTAAAGTCGATTAGCGAATCGCTTTCCCAGTTTAGTAATTATAACAAGTTATGCATTTACATAGCACCCGTCACACCGGATGGCATCGCGGAGCACTTATTAATAATATAATTATCCCTCCAAAAATAATGATTTAGTCACTCAATCCACCGCTGTTTGTGGGACATTATGAATCTCTCCCTGTCCACTGGTACTGTTCCCAACCCATTGAAAACCGCCATCATCACTCCTATCCTTAACAAATCCTCCCTTGACCCATCTCTACTCTCAAACTACTGCCCCATCTCCAACCTCTCTTTCCAAGGTCCTGGGACGAGTTGTTGCTTCCCAGCTTTGCTCCTTCCTCTCCCACCACTCCATTCAGAAACCCACCCAATCAGGTTTCCGTGCCGCCCGCAGCCCAGAAACTGCCCTGGTCAAAGTGACAAATGACATTCTGTCCATCTGCGACCAGGGCTCCCTCTGCCTCCTCGTCCTCCTTGACCTCTCTGCTGTCTTCGATACCATCGACCACTCTATTCCCATCCACCATCTCTCGTCTGGCCTCAACCTCACAGCTCTGTCCTTGACTGGTTCAGATCGTACCTCACACACTGCCTCCATTTCATCTCCACAAACAGCTTCTTCTCGAGCCCACAGATTGTCTCGTGTAGCGTTCCTCAGGGCTCTGTCCTTGGTCCCCTCCTCTTCAATATCTATATGCTCCCTCTTAGTGACATCATCCACAGATATGGGGTCAAATTCCACATTTATGTGTATGACACCCAACTCTATCTCTGTGCTTCCACCCTCGACTCCAGGATCACTACTGTCCTGACAGAATGTCTGTCAGACATCAAGTCCTGGATGAGAGCTAACTTTCTTCAGTTGAATGTCAACAAGACCGAGGCTCTACTGATTGGCTCCTGTCAGTGTCTCCACATCTCAGGTGCGGACGGCATCACCATCCATGGTTGCACACTTCACCTGACTAAGTCAATCTGGAACCTTGGGGTCTTGTTTGACTCTCAATTATCCTTTCTACCCCATATCTGTGCCCATGACCTGCTGCCTTCCCCCACCTCCGCAACATCGCCCGACTCTGCCACTGTCTCACACCGCAGACCACCGAAACCCTCATACATGACTTCGAGGCTCGACTATGCAAACTCCTTGTTTGTCGGCCTCCCCAACACCTCCCTCCACAGGCTGCAGATCATCCAGAACTCTGCAGCCCATGTCCTCTCCCGCACCAGGCTCCGTGACTCTATCACCCCCATCCTCGCCCGACTCCATTGGTTTCCCATCACACAGAGGATACAGTTCAAGATCCTGGTCCTCACCTTCAAAACCCTCCATGGTCTTGCTCCCCCACTACCTCTGCAACCTCCTAACCCCCTACCATCCTGCCCCCTCCCTCTGCTCAGCGGGCTCCAGCCTGCTTCACGTCCTCATTCGCCCCACTATTGGCGGACAGGCCTTCTGCCACTCTGCCCCCATCCTCTGGAACTCCATCTTGCAGTCCCACTGCCTCGCTCCCTCCCTTGCCTCCTTCAAGGCGCATCTCAAGACCCTCCTCTTCGACCATACTTTCGATCTCCCTGCTTCCCCCCCTGCCCTCCGCCCTCCCTGATTCCCGACCCTCAGCTCGGGTCCGAAGCTCCGTCTGTCCAGCGCCTTGGGACGTCCTCCTGACGTGAAAAGCACGATACAAATGTAATTTCGTCGTCGTTGACACCGCTGCGTGCAATCGGCCGCCCACAAACGACACAGTGACTGCACTTTACAACGTCATCCGTGAAGCGCTTTGAGACGTCTCAATGACGCGACAAGGCGGTGCATCAAAAGGATTATTATTATAATTAATAAGTCGTCGTTAAGAGTTCAAGAAATTGCCAGCCTCGTGAAGACAAAGTAAGAAGCCAAAGAACTTAAAAGGCAAGTTAGTGCAGGTTTCCGGGTGGGGTGTTGGGGGCGGTTCCGCTTAAAGGAATGGCACAAGAAGCGAGAACCGATTTTAAAGATACGCATTCAGGATAAAGGGTAAAGATACACATTAAAACTCTCCCTCTCTCTCACTCGCTCACACTTATATCTGCACACACGCAGTGCAAAAAGCAATCACTCCACACCCCCACCCACTTAGCATTAAATGACTATATTTAAACACTCGCGCACACCAGCAATGCCACCACATCAGATGCAAAGCATAAATCGGTTAGAAAAAAGGATCCAACTCGCTCTCCCCATCCAGTGCAGGACCCAGAACACGAGACTCGGGTTAATTTCACCTTCTGCTGAAATGCACTGAAAAGTTCAATCGGATTTCTCTCTCTCTCTCACACACACATATACACACACACACACACACACACACACTCTCTCTCTCTCTCTCTCTATCCCTTGTTCCTGGAGGACACCTCCAGCTCTGCAATCTCTCTCCCTCTCCCCTTCCCACACGCACTGCCTTCTGATGGATGGACTGTGTCCCTCTCTCTTACCCAAGTTTTTTTTTTGTCTCTTCCTCCTTCGAAATGGGCAAAGAAGGCAAACACAGACAGTCAGATCTCTGCAACTCAGTGAAGCCAAACACAGCGCAAATACAGGAAGCTCCAACACAAGGAAGTTCAGATAAAGACTGCTTCATCTGACGTCAGAGAGCAGAGAAAACAAGCCCAGTCTGCAATTTCGACCCATTTTGCCCCATATCCTGTGTTTTTTTAAAAAAAACTCCCCCCCTCCCCAAAGACAGGCAGTGCATTCTAGAGATCCACTGCAGAATAAACTCGTAAAACACGTTGTGCCTCTGAACCAGGTTTCCTTTCGTTTGTGATGGACTGAAATACAAAGAATATTGAGGACTCAAAACTCTCCTGGTCTGTACTTTGAGCTCCCAGTTTACAGGGTGTTCACAAAGTCCTGTTACACCCCACCCCTCCCCACCCCTCCGCCGTTCTTTTTTCCTTACAAGTCATCTTTATTTTAATAATAATAATAATAGCATTTGATACGGCGCCCGATCACGTCGTTGAGGCGTCTCGAAGCACTTTACAGGATATACTGTAAATAATAATAATAATCCGGGCATTTGATATAGCGCTTTTCACGTCTTCTCGACGTCGCAAAGCGCTTCACAGAATATACTGTAAAGTGAATTGACTGTATATTTGAGGGGGGAACGCGGCAGCCAATTGCGCACAGCAATGTCCCACAAACAGTCGTGGTTTGAGTGACCAATTTATTTTTGAGAGATTATTAGTCCCGGAAAGCGAGCCGCCAATCGACTGGCAACCAGGTACTTACTTTCATCCAGAACTCTGCAGCTCGTGTCCTCTCCCGCACCAGGCTCCGTGACCCCTATCACCCCCACCCTCGCCCGGCTCCACTGGCTCCCCGTCCCCAGAGGATAGAATTCAAAATTCTGGTTCTCACCTTCAAGGCCTTGTTCACTCCCACCTCTCCGACGTCCTCCCGACGTGAAAGATGCTGTACAAATATAATCTTCTTGTTGTTGTTGCTAACCCCTTATCAACCTGTCCACTACTCCGCTCAGCAGGCTCCAGCCTGCTCCATGACCCCCGCCCGGCCCGCTCCACCATCAGCGGTCAGGCCTTCAGCCTCTCTGCCCCCACCCTCTGGAACTCCACCCCACGTTCCCTTCTCGCTTCCTCCATTGTCTCCTTCAAGGCACACCTCAAGACCCTCCTTTTCGACTGTGCCTTTAGACATCCTCCTATCCCCAACCTCCCGCACCCCCACTCAGATCCTAATCCCTGACTGTTCAGCGCCTTGGGAAGTCCTCCCGATGTGAAAGGCGCTTTACAAATGTAATTTTGTGTTGTATTGTACTGCTAGATAAACAGAGGCATGTGGAGTAAGGAAACTTCAGGTTTCACCCTGCCCAGGAATTGAACCCAGATCCTCTCACGTGTGAGGTGAGAATCCTAACCACTATGCTACTGGACTTCATTGGAGAAAAGAGGGACTTTCTCCCTAATCCTCCAGATTAAAATCCATCACTTCTGCTGTTTGTGGGACCTTAGTGTGTGCAAAATGGCGGTTCAGCACCTGGTCATGTCCAATTGGCTCAAATCAGTTCACAGGTAATTACTGTCAAGTGCAGGGATCTGGTGGACAAGGATTGTTGGCCAAGATACTGTGAGAAACTTCCTTTTTCCCCTCAAATAGAGCTGTAGGATATCTAACCACCTGAAGACAGATCCTCTCCTGATCCTTCTGCTACTAATCCTGAGACAATGCCCCTCAGTCATCAATTCCCCGACTGAATAATTTATCCTGATTTACCTGGATACGCCCTTTGATAATCTCACCACCACTATCACATACAGTACCTTCAAAATCTCCTGGTCCAGTGAATAAAGCCTTAATTTTACATTGGATCTGAAAATTGGGTCACGGAATCACAGTCTAAGCTGACACTCTCGTGCAGTGCTGGGTGGGGTGTTGCATTGTCAGGCGATGTTACAGAGGTGAGGGAAGGCAGAGCGGGTCATGGCTTGGATGTGGGGAAGAAAAGATAGTTGAGGGTTGAACAAGACACCCAGGTTCCTGCCTGGCTGGTGAGTTGAAGTGTATAACCATGGAGGTTGATGCTGCCAGAGCCTGAGGTGCAGAGGCGCTGACGCGAGCCAATCGGGAGGGCCTCAGTTTTGTTCACATTCAACAGTAGGAAGTTTCTCCTCATCCAGGACTTGATGTCCGACGGCAGTCTGTCAGGACAGCAGTGGTCCTGGAGTTGAGGTGGGAAGATAGAGTTGGGTGTCATCCGCATACATGTGGAAGTTGACCCCATGTCTGCGGATGATGTCACCAAAGGGGAACATGTAGATATTAAAGAGGAGACAAGGACAGAGCCCTGGGGGATGCCAGACGTGACAGTGCGGGGGTTGGAGGGGAAACTGTTAGAGGCAACAAAGTGGAGACGGTGAGAGAGATAGGAATCGAACCAGACAACGGTAGGTCCGCAAAGATTACACCGCGCCTTTCACATTGGAGGGATGTCCCCGGTCACCCCAGTCCTGGCCAGACTGCACTGACTGCCTGTCCCAGAGAGGATCAACTTCAAGATCCTCACCCTTGTCTTCAAATCCCTCCACTCCTCTGCACCCCCCAACCTCTCTGACCTCCTCTCTCCTCAAACAGTACCCGCTGCCTTCGTTCCTCCGGGTCTGGCCTCCTCCTCATCCCCCGAGTGCTCCGCTCCACGCTCGGCGGCCGTGCCTTCAGCCACTAAGCCCCGAGGCTCTGAAACTCCCTTCGTCACTGCCTTCGCCTCAATCCCTCTTCCTATTATAGTCCCTGCTGAAGACCTTTCTCTTCGACTGTGCCTTTGGTCACCTTCCCTCGGCCCTGGGATCCGTTACTGTGAAGCTCTGAGATGCCGTCCGGCGTGGAGGGCGCTATATAAATGCAAGTTGTTGTTGTTGTCTCAAGGCACTGTACAGTCAGGGATTTGGACCTGAGCTGGAGGTGGAGATCAGGAGGAGTGGAAGGCAGGGAGGATAGGAGGGTGGCCGAAGCCATGGTCGAAGAGGAGGATCTTGACACGCACCTTGAAGGAGGCAAGGGAGGGAGCGAGGCGATGGGGCTGTGAGATGGAGTTCGAAAGGGTGTGGGCAGACAAGCTGAAGACCTGACTGGCAATGGTGGGGCGGGCCGGTCAATGGGCATGAAGCAGGCTAGAGCCCACTGAACAAAGGATGGGAATGGAGTTAGCAGGTCACAGAGGTAGGGAAGAGCAAGGCTGTGGAGGGCTTTGAAAGCAATGATGAGGGTTTTGAACTCTATTCTCTTGTCCACAAAATACACAATGACAACTTGCATTTATATAGCGCCCTTCAACGCAGAGCAGCCTCCCAGAGTGGTGGAGTCTGACAACAAGTCAGGTGTACACAGTCACTCCACTCCACAGCAAATCCCATGAAACATTTCACTCCCAAAGTGAAAGACGCTATCAAATGCAAGGATTAATTGTTATTACCTGGCAACTCAACAGAGTTTGGGGTGGTTCAAACCTGGCATCTACTGTTAAGATCTTCCCATTATTACCATGGCTTATTAATTCCAAACATGAAAAAGTGCTTCACAGGCAATCTGCCAATTGACAACAGGTTTCTACTTACTACGGGGTAAACAGAAACTTGGGGAGTAAGGAAACTCGCCTAAGGTTTCGCCCTGCCTCGGAATCAAACCCGGGTCCTCTCGCTTGCAAGGCCAGTGCTCTAACCAATACACTGCAGGACTTTATTCCCTGACTATTATCTGCCAAGTGCACTCAAGGGCCAAATCCAACATGCTGCAGGCTTATTCAGCACCAGCTGTTTGGCAAGTTTCCTTACTCCACACGGCTCTGCTTACCTGGCAGTAAGTGGGATCCCGGTTGTTAGTCGATTGGTGGATCGTTTTCCAGGGTTAATAATCTCTTCAAAAATAAATAAATTGGTCACTCAATCCATGACTGTTGTGCACAATTGGCTGTCCTGTTTTGCCCACAAAATATACAGTCAATCCACTTTACAATTTATTCTGTGAAGCGCTTTGAGATGTCTCTACGGTGTGATAAGGCGCTATATCAAATGCAACGATTATTATTGTAATCATTATAATATTCATTTGATGGTCTCCCAGGTAACTGACACCATTATCTGCAAGATTGATCTTCGATTCCTGGAGAGTCTAGGATTGATAATCGTGGGATTTTTTCTGACATGCAGGTCACTATACAAGTGTAATATGTTGATGTTGGCAAGCCCTCCCTTCCTGTAACTGTTTCGCCTCGTTACCATAAATCCACAACCTAATGGTGGTGGGTTTTTTAGTGACTGGCAAATAGAAATATCCAGGTACAGTGTATGAACAATGAAAGTCAGTGTTTTTTTCTGAAGGCAAATGCAATGGCAATTTTGCAAAGTCCCTCAACAACAGGTACTTATCCACTCTCCCCCAACAGGCTGTGGATGCTGGATCCATTCACATCTTCAAGACTGAGGTGGATAGATAATAATAATAATAATAATCCTTGCATTTGATATAGCGCTTTTCACGTCGGGAGGACGTCCCAAAGCGCTTCACAGAACACACTGTAAAGTGAATTGACTGTATATTTGTGGGCGAACGCGGCAGCCAATTGCGCACAGCAATGTCCCACAAACAGTCGTAGATGAAAATGACCAATTTAATTATTGTTTTTGGTTTTGGAGGGATTATTATTAGGCTCTGTGTGGAGTAAGGAAACTTGCCCAAGGTTTTGCCCTCTGCCTGGAATTGAACTCAGGTCTCTCGCTTGCAAAGCGAGTGCTCTAACCACTGAGCTACAGGACTCCAGATATTTGTTAGGTCAGAGTATTAAAGGATACGGGGCAAGGACAGGTAATTGAAGCTGAGGTACAGATCAGCCATGATCTAATCGAATAACGGAACAGGTTCAAGGGGCTGAATGGCCTACTCCTGCTTCTATGTTTCTACACCTCCCAGACCCTTGGGCATACTCCCTATGTGAAAGGCCCCATACAAATGTAATTTTGTATTGTGTTGAGCCAGTACAGAATCCAGGGAGAACACCTTAAAGCACATCACAAATGTGAGCGTCTGAGCTGGGAGATAGTCATGAAACAGCCAACGAGGTGAACTCACCTGAGGGACCGTTGGCCAGGACTCAGGGAGAAACACCTTGCTTTTTCCAACTTGTAACTTCCACCACAGGATGGGAGTTTAACATCCCCTGAAAACCAGCCCCATGACATTGCAACTACAAACAACAAGAAGAAAATTACGTTTGTATAGCGCCTTTCACGTCAGGAGGATGTCTCAAGATGCTGAAAAAGCAGTATTCCTCCCACTGTTATACGGGCTTGTCAATCAGACAAGGAGTTGGAACCCACAACATTCAGACCCACAGGCAAGTGGGTTAACGAATGAACCAAGTTATCATTAAGCAGGGAAACGAGGGACGAGATAATTGCTCACAGGTGGAGAGAGAATTCAGAGAGCAAGTCATCACATCATCAGGCAGTTTTAATGCCTACACAAACAGCTCGTTCAAAGTATAATTGGTAAATGCATAGCTCCCCTACTCAAGGCTGTATATGTCTCATGTCAACCCCAGAAGAGAAGGTAAATAATCAGTGAATAAAGGCCTGTAATGTAGTGGTTGGAGAGCTCTTACCTCGCAAGCAAGAGGACCTGGATTCAATCCCCGGGCCGGGCAAAACCTTATTTAGGTGTTCTTACTCCACACCCCTCTGTCTACCTAGCAGTAGGAACCTGGTTGTTAGTCGATTGGCGGATCGCTTTCTGGGGCTAATAATCCCTTAAAAAATAATAATTTGGTCATTCAATCCCCGAGTTTGTGGAACATTGCGGTGCACAATTGACTGCTGTGTTTCACCCACAAAATACACAGTCACTTTACAGTATAGTCTGTGAAGCTCTCTGAGATGTCTTGATGACGTGAAATGGTGCTCCATCAAATGCAAGGATTATTACTATTGGAGTGTAAAATACCTACAACACTTGCTGGTGAAAATCTTGTGAAAGCAGGTGCAGAACCAATTTTCTGCCACTAGATGTTGTCGCTACACTGAACATTGCTCTGCCCAGCGATGCTGAAGGTTTTAGAAAGAAAGAAGAACTTTTGTATTTTTATAGCGTCTAATGTCAAACTGTGTCAAGGTAATTACCACCAGGTACCAGGTCTATTCTTGGTAGCCAAACGCAGAAGCCATTCTGCACACAACAAAGCTCCAGAAATAGCCATGAGGTGAATGGACCAAATTTCAATGTGGAGAAGCATTGTAGTTTATTGCGCCTGGCTCAGTTGGTAGCATCTGACTCAGAAGGTTGTGGGTTTAAGCTTACGTCAGGTCTTGGGAACCCCTATAGACTATGCTGACACTCCAAAGCTGTGTTCGGGGGTCTTGTAGCTTAGTAGTTAGAGCACTTGCCTTGCAAGTGAGAGGACCCAGGTTCGATTCTCGGGCAGCGTGAAACGTTAGGCAAGTTTCCTTATTCCACATGCCTCTGTTTAAGTAGCAGTAAATAGGAACCTAGTTGTTAATCGATTGGCAGATTGCTTTTCTGGGGCTAATAATCCCTTCCCCCAAAAAATAATAATAATAATTTGGTCCCTCAATCCATGACTGTCTGTGGGACGCTGCTGTGTGCAATTGGCTGCCATATTTCACCCACAAAATGCACAATCAATTCACTTTACAGTATATTCTGTGAAGCACTTTGAGATGTCTCAAATACGTGCTAAGGCGCCATATCAAATGCAAGGATTATATTATTATTATTTGTACCATATTCCTCTACTCACCCCTTTCACTCAGCGAATACCTCCTCCATGCCACCATCCACTGCCAAACAGTCCCAAACCACTTGGCAGTGGAGAAACATAAAGAATGAAATAAAGATAGACAAACCAACAACTGGGAAGGAGCTTTGAGACATCAGGTCACTGCGAGGCTAACACTGTTATCCAATACGGAGGAGCGTTTGGAGTGATGGTGAGGGAGTTGTCCAGCAGAGTGACCGAGGAGGTAAGGTCAGAGCAGGACCAGAGGGGCAGGTTTCAGGGCAGAAGAGAGGGAGTGGGAGGTAATTGTCTTCCAGGCGAGAAGGAAATATAATAATAATACTTGCGTTTGATATAGCACCTTATCATGTCTTCGAGGTTTCTCAAACACTTCACAGAATATTCTGTAAAGTGGATTGACTTTATATTTTATGGATGAAATGGTAGTGGGTTGAGTGGTAGTAACAAAAATAATAATAATCCTTGCACTTGATATAGCGCCTTATCACGTCGTTCAGATGTCTCAAAGACGTTTCGCCTACAAAATATAGTCAATTCACTTTACAGTATATTCTGTGAACCGCATTGAGATATCTCGAAGATGTGATAAGGTGCTATGTCAAGTATCAAAAGTGTAGTGACTGTACATTTTGTGGGCAAAAAGCAGCAGCCAATTGCGCAGATCAGTGTCCCAAAAACAGCCGTGGATTGAGTGACCAAATTACTATTTACTGATTGTTGGGCAGGGACACTGAGTGAGAGAGCGAGAGAAACTCCCTTCTCATTCAAGGGTGGAGTCCTGTCGCTCAGTGGGTAGAGGGCTCACCTCGCAAGCGAGAGGACCTGTATAATAATTCCTCAAAATAAAATAATAAATTGGTCACTGCAATCCACTATTTGTGGGGACGCTGCTATAAGCAATTGGCTGCTGCGTTTCGCCCACAAAATACACAGTCACGACACATTACAGTGTATCCTCTGAAGCGCTTTGAGACGTCTCAAAGATATGAACAACAACAATTTGGATTTGTATAGCGCCCTCCACGCCAGACGGCATCTCAGAGCGCTTTACAGTCACGGATCCCGAGCCGGGGGGAAGGGGGGAAGCCGGGGGGGGGAGGGGGAAGGTGACCAAAGGCGCGGTTGAAAAGGAAGGTTTTCAGCCGAGACCTGAAAATGGGAAGGGAGGGAGCGAGATGAAGGGAGTGAGGAAGGCAGTTCCAGAGACTCGGGGCATAGTGGCTGAAGGCACGGCCACCGAGGGTGGAGCGTAGGACTTGGGGGATGAGGAGGCCGGATCCGGAGGAATGGAGGCAACGGGTACTGTTTTGAGGAGAGAGGAGGACAGAGAGGTCGGGGGAGCAGAGGAGCGCAGGGACTTTAATACAAACTGAGGATCTTGAAATCGATCCTCTCTGGGACAGGCAGTCAGTGCAGTCTGGCCAGGACTGGGGGGGTCGGGGAGCGGAGTTTGGTGCGGGTGAGAATGCGGGCGGCAGAGTTTTGAATGATTTGGATTTTATGGATGGTGGTGGAGGGGAGACCGGCGAGGAGGGCGTTAGAGTAGTCCAGCCGGGAGGTGACAAAGGCATGGATCAGGGTTTCAGTGGCTTTTGGGGAGAGGTATTGGCGGAGACGGGCGATGTGTCAGAGGTGGTAGAAGGCGGTGCTGGTGAGGGACCGGATGTGGGGGAGGAAGAATAATTGGGGGTCGAGCCTGACACCGAGGTTGTGTACGGGTTCGGAGAGTTTTAAGGGGAGGTCGGATAGGTGGAGGAGGTGAGATTTTAGACGTTGACGGGAGCCGAAGAGTATGGCTTCCGTCTTGTCAACGTTCAGCTGAAAGAAGTTTGCGCTCATCCAACCCCTGAGGTCTGACAGGAGAACATCAGGGGACTGGGGGGGGGGCGCAAAGAGAGGTCCAAAAATAGAGTTGGGTGTCGTCCGCGTACATGGGAAATGTACCCCACGTCTGCGGACGACATCCCCGAGAGGGAGCACAGGGAAGAGAGAGAGGAGGGGCCGAGGATGGATCGTTGGGGGACCCCGTGGGTGACCGGGTGAGAGCGGGAGGAGAAGCCGTTGGTGCAGATGTACCGCTGGCGGTTTGTGAGGTGGGACTCGAACCCGGCACCAGGCGCTGTGTTACATGTGAGGAGTTACATGTGGAGTCCTGTAGCTCAGTGGTTAGAGCACTCGCTTTGCAAGCGAGAGACCTGAGTTCAATTCCAGGCAGAGGGCAAAACCTCGGGCAAGTTTCCTTACTCCACACAGAGCCTAATAATAATCCTCCAAAACCAAAAACAATAATAAATTGGTCATTTTCAATCTACGACTGTTAGTGGGACATTGCTGTGCGCAATTGGCTGCCGCGTTCGCCCACAAATATACAGTCAATTCACTTTACAGTGTGTTCTGTGAAGCGCTTTGGGACGTCCTCCCGACGTGAAAAGCGCTATATCAAATGCGAGGATTATTATTATTATTATTATTATTAATAACTGTGGAGGGGATGGGGGGGGAATGGGGGGGGGAGTGAGAGCCTGAACCAATCAGCAACGGGGGAATATTGTCCACGGCAGCCAATCGCCATGGAGGAAGGGAAGAGAGGCGACCAATCAGCGGAAGGAGAGGGTGTGGACCAATGGGCTGAGGAGGGCGGGAGGGGCTGCGGGCGGCCAATCAGCGGAGAGGGAGGCACAAGGTGTCGGCCAATGGGCAGAGGAGGGCGGGGCGCGGAGGACGGTCACCCATTCAGCGGAGAGGCGGCAGTGGAACCGAGCAATGAGGGTGAGGGTGAGGGGCGGGAGGGCCGCGGGGGGGGGAGGCGCGGGGGAGGGGGAGGGGCGGGAGGGCCGCGGGGGGGGGAGGCGCGGGGGGGGAGGGGCGGGAGGGCCGCGGGGGGGGGAGGGCCGCGGGGGGGGAGGGGCGGGAGGGCCGCGGGGGGGGGAGGGCCGCGGGGGGGGAGGGGCGGGAGGGCCGCGGGGGGGAGGGCCGCGGGGGGGGAGGGGGGGAGGGCCGCGGGGCGGGGAGGGCCGCGGGGGGCGGGGAGGGGGGGAGGGCCGCGGGGGGGGGGGGAGGGTCGCGGGGGAGTGGGAGGGGCGGGAGTGCCGCGGGGGGGGGGGGAGTGCCGCGGTGGGGGGAGGGCCGCGGGGAGGGGAGGGGCGGAGTGCCGCGGGGGGGGGGGAGTGCCGCGGGGGGGGGGGAGGGCCGCGGGGGGGGGGCGGGATGGGGAGAGCGCGCGCTGGACGGTTGGCGATGGAACGCGAGCCCGCGCGAGAGAGAGTGAGGGCGAGGGAGACTGAGGGGGAGATTGAGGGGGAGAGAGACTGAGGGGGAGATTGAGGGGGAGAGACTGAGGGGGAGAGAGACTGAGGGACGGGGAGACTGAGGGAGAGAGAGAGGGAGGGAGAGACTGAGGGACGAGGAGACTGAGGGAGGGAGAGACTGAGGGAGAGAGGGACTGAGGGAGGGGGAGACTGAGGAAGAGACTAAGAGAGGGGGAGAGACTGAGGGAGAGAGACTGAGGGATGAGGGGAGAGACTGAGGGAGAGACTGAGGGAGGGGGAGAGACTGAGGGAGAGACTGAGGGAGGGGGAGACTGAGTGAGGGGGAGAGACTGAGGGAGAGAGGGAGGGAGGGGAAGACTGAGAGGGAGAGATTGAGGGAGAGAGGGACTGAGGGAGGGGGAGACTGAGGGAGGGAGAGACTGAGGGAGGGAGAGACTGAGGGATGGGGATAGACTGAGGGAGAGACTGAGGGAGGGGGAGACTGAGTGAGGGGGAGAGACTGAGGGAGGGAGAGGGAGACGGAGGGAGGGAGAGACTGAGGGAGAGAGAGAGGGAGGGAGGGGAAGACTGAGAGGGAGAGATTGAGGGAGAGAGGGACTGAGGGAGGGGAGACTGAGGGAGGGAGAGACTGAGGGAGGGAGAGACTGAGGGATGGGATAGACTGAGGGAGAGACTGGGGGAGGGAGACTGAGTGAGGGGGAGAGACTGAGGGAGGGAGAGACTGAGGGAGGGAGGGAGGGAGAGACTGAGGGAGGGAGAGAGGGAGGGAGGGGAAGACTGAGAGGGAGAGATTGAGGGAGAGAGGGACTGAGGGAGGGGGAGACTGAGGGAGGAGAGACTGAGGGAGGGAGAGACTGAGGGATGGGGATAGACTGAGGGAGAGACTGGGGGAGGGGGAGACTGAGGGAGAGAGAGACTGAGGGAGGGGGAGAGACTGAGGGAGAGAGACTGATGGAGAGACAGGGAGGGAGAGAGACTGAGGGAGGGAGAGACTGAGGGATGGGGAGACTGAGGGAGGGGGAGACACTGAGGGACGGAGAGAGAGTGAGGGAGAGAGAGACTGAGGGAGGGGGAGACTGAGTGAGGGGGGAGACTGAGGGAGGGAGAGACTGAGGGAGGGGGAGACTGAGGGAGGGAGAGACTGAGGGGGAGACTGAGGGAGGGGGAGACTGAGGGAGGGGGAGACTGAGGGAGGGAGAGACTGAGGGAGGCAGTGAGAGGGGGACTGAGCTTGTGAGACATTGCCCCCCCAATCCCCAGCCTCACACTGACCCCCCGACACACACTGACCCCCACACACACTGACCCCCCACACACACTGACCCCCACACACACACTGACCCCTCCACACTGACCCCCACACACACTGACCCCCCCACACACACTGACCCCCACACACACTGCCCCCCCCACACACACTGACCCCCCCCACACACTGACCCCCACACACACTGACCCCCCACACACACTGACCCCCCCACACACACACTGACCCCCCCACACACACTGACCCCCCACACACACACTGACCCCCCCCACACACACTGACCCCCCCACACACACTGACCCCCCCACACACACTGACCCCCCCACACACACACTGACCCCACACACACATGACCCCCCCACACACACTGACCCCCACACACACCACTGACCCCCACACACACTGACCCCCCCCACACACACACATGACCCCACACACACTGCCCCCCACACACACTGACCCCCCCCACACACTGACCCCCACACACACTGACCCCCCCACACACACTGACCCCCCCCACACACACTGACCCCCCCCACACACACTGACCCCCCCACACACACTGACCCCCCCACACACACTGACCCCCCACACACTGACCCCCCACACACACTGACCCCCCCCACACACACTGACCCCCCCCACACACACTGACCCCCCCCCACACACACTGACCCCCACACACACATACACTGACCCCCACACACACTGACCCACACACACACTGACCCCCCCACACACACATACACTGACCCCCACACACACACACTGACCACCACACTGACACACACACACACTGACCCCCCCACACACATACACTGACCCCCCCCCACACACACTGACCCCACACACACACTGACCCCCCCCCCACACACTGACCCCCCCCCACAGACACTGACCCCCCCACACACTGACCCCCCCACACACTGACCCCCCACACACACTGACCCCCCACACACACTGACCCCCCCACACACACACTGACCCCTACACACACTGACCCACACACACACTGACCCCCCACACACACACACTGACCCCCCCCCACACACACACTGACCCCCCCCCCACACACACACACACTGACCCCCCACACACACACTGACCCCCCCACACACACTGACCCCC